TATGTATGTGAACACCTACTGTCATGCCTGGTGTCTAAGGGCATATGGTAAATGTTAGTTCCCCTTTTGTCCTCTTTTAAAAATTTCGTATTTCCAAGCTCTCACAGGTCATAAGTTGCACCTGGGCAAGACTCGTGGACTTCAGAGCACCCAGATCGGGGATTCCCCATCCAGGAGCCACTCAGGGCAGGGGTTTGACTCACTGACTGAGCCCCTTTGAAATTCCTGGGGCAGGACTGGGCATATGGACACTTTTGAGAAGCAGTGGGTCTAAGTTAGTGATCTCTGGTAGGCCAGGTATGTGTGTTTGTGTACATATGGTGCTACTCAATAGGTTTGGAGAATATTTAAAGGTGTGAGAAGAGATAGTAGGGGTGGTGAGGCTCACAATTAGGCAGACTTCCAGAACTCTTATAAAAATAATGATTAAAATCCTCCAGAAGGAGAGATGGGGACCTCAGTACTGACTAGGATGTTATCTTCTGGTGGCATCCTACAGATGGCCAACTTGGTCCCACTTGAAGAAAGAGGATAATTACGTGGATCACTCAGAGTAAAAGGCAAGGGGTCTGGTTCATGGGAATCTCCCTTACTTGGTAACTAAAGCCTTCAGAAAGGGAAGTAGAACCAGGCCAAGAGTTTGAAGCCTGAATTTGCCAGCCTGCGGTGACTCTGTGCAAAAAAAGAACTAGATCTCAGACTGGGTAAGACATTTAGGAAAAGACATATCTTTCCTGAACATATCAACTCATTCAGTTGATGGGTGATGAAGTTACATCAGGGAAACTCCATACTGACCTATTCTAGCCCCATTCCAGCTTCGTCTTGCTGGATTTGAGTGAAACATCCTGGATCCCGGAATATATAATGCTTTTTTTTTTTTTTAAGGGTTGTACTCTCTTGCTTTCAGAGTTGGGGCACCAGGCCCATTGCTATGCTTTGTTTTCAAATAAAAAATAGTTTTTTTTTTTCTGGTCATAAAAATAGCTGTCTACTCATTGTAGGAAATTATTCAATAAAGAAACATTTAAGATGGTAAAGCTTACCTGACATACTGTTAAACATTTTTTTGAACATGCTTTCAGTAATACATTCTGGGCACATACCTGCCATTCAAACATCTTTACAAGAATACTTCTATATTTGTTTTTCTTTTTGAGATGGAGTCGCTCAGGCTGGAGGGCAGTGGCGCGATCTTGGCTCACTGCAACCTCTGCCTCCTGGGGTCAAGCGATTCTCCTGCCTCAGCCTCCCAAGTAGCTGGGATTTCAGCCTCCCGAGTATCTGGGATTACAGGCACATGCCACTATGCCTGGCTAATTTTTGTATTTTTTTGTAGAGACGGGGGCTTCACTATGTTGGACAGGCTGGTCTCGAACTCCTGACCTCAGGTGATCCACCCACCTTGGCCTCCCAAAGTACTGGGATTACAGGCATGAGCCACCATGCCTGGCCAAGAATACTTATATTTCTTTTTCTTTCTTTATTATTATTATTTTTTTGAGATAATGTCTTGCTCTGTCACCCAGGCTGGAGTGCAGTAGCTCAACCTTGGCTCACTGCAACCTCTGCCTCCCGGGATCAAGCTATCCTTCCGCCTCAGCCTCCCAAGTAGCTGGGACTATAGGTATACGCCACCACGCCTGGCTAATTTTCATACTTTTTATAGAGATGGGGTTTTGCCATGTTGCCCAGGCTGGTCTTGAACTCCTGAGTTCATTCGATCCACCCTCCTTGTCTTCCCCAAATGCTGAGATTATAGGTATGAGCCATGGCACCCAGCCTTATGTGTTTCTTACAGTCTGTTTTCTTTACAACTTAACATGTTATGGAGATCATCCTGTATCAATGTCTGCAAATCAAAATCATTATTTGTTTGATCAGCAAATCTTTCTGCATCAGAGTCTCTCATAGAGCTCCTAGCTGTGGCTGAATTCTTGTGCTCCAGGAGTTGGAAGGCTTATGAAGAGAGGGGGAGTCAGCTGAGTCACCAAGACGAAAATATCAAAGCAGGACTGGCATCTTTATCTGTCCCCAGTCCTCATTTTCCCCAGACCCCCTGCCTTCTCAGCTGCCTTCCCTTCAAGAGCTATCTCCCCACAAGCAGGACTGGATATGCTTCTCCTTATGCACAGTTCAGCTTCTTGGCAATATTTATTTGGTCATGCAAAGAAGAAAACCAGCCCATCACCTCCTAAAAGAACTTCCTCACTATTGCCTCTGGCCCAGAGGGATCCAACTTTACGTTTATGCTTGGTTCTCCATTTTTTTCTAGTATGTTTACACAGTGACCTCTGTAATCCTTGTTACCCTTGGCAAAACTGTTTATTCTAACCCTGGTGTAAGGCTGTGGCTTCAAAGTCAGCATTTTCCAAATGAGGTTTTCTCAACCACCCAACCCTAGAGTTCAGAGCTTCCCTCTGTCCTGCTCAGTGGCCACTTTTCTGTGGTCATCTGTTTTTCTTCCTCTGTTCTGGCTCAGGCAGTCCTTGCTGTGACTTCCTCTTGACATGGGTACCAAGGGCATAGGAAACAGGAGATGCAGGCTCAGCCCTGGAGGAACCTGCAGTCTGGCGGACACTTCAGCACAAGGGAAAACCTGTTGGAGTCCTTGAAAAGAGACAGGAAAACAAATGGAAAACAATAATACTTTCCATCTGTATTCCAAAGCCCTTTCACATACGTTATTATCCACAGTGGAGACCACATACGTGATCTGGAAAACATGGAATGGCGGAGTGACTTGGAGTCAGGCAGGCATATTCCAGAAAAGTATCCATCTCAATCTGGTCTGCAGTCCTGTCCTTGAGAGGTCATCTTTCTTCATCAAATGCACGTTGCTATATTGTTCCTAGTATGTGCCAGGCACTGCGCCTTTTCCCTTAATTACATGCAAAACTCATGATCCAAAGCCTTCCACCTTTTCCAGTTATTCCAAATGCTTAGCCTCAATCCCACCTACTGAAGTTTCTATTCATTTCCTCTTATTCTATTTTTGGTGGAAAGGGGAGCTGTAGCTCACCACCTACCATATAATAACCCTTTAGAGGCTGTTATTAGGCATCCTTGGGGCTGCTATTTTTACCTTTTAATAAATCCAAGCTTCTCTGCTCTACTGTATTGGGGCTGGCTGAGGCTGTAGAGGGAGACTCCCTGTGTTAGCCTTTTGCTGGCTGTGCCAGGCAGTGAGGGAAATGCACATATAGCAGTGTTCAATGTACAGCACAGAGACAGCTGGAAAATAATTGTCCAATTGAGTGTGAAAACCTGATACAGGTGTAACAGGCACTGGGATGTCTGGTTGGTAATGACAGATCAGAGAGAGCTTTCAGAACACTGTCCAGGGCTTAGTGACCTGGAATGCATGGTATATTTCCCTGTCTACCCTGTTCCCTTGACAGCTGCTGATTCCCAGTTTTGGGAATGTGTCTGGCCCATTCCTTCAAGGTAACCCAGTTTAGAGAGATGTGGGGCATATGGGCTCCTCCAAAGTGAGGTTTGAGTCAGCTTTATCATAAGCCTGGAGTCATCCAGTAGTCCTTGTAGATACTACCTTTTCAAGATAGACGTCTACTCTTGGGACTGAGCTGAAGCTGCCTGTCCTTTGGGAATGGAGGTTGTGTTAATCAGATTCTTAGTTACAAGCGACAGAACCAGAATTCCAATTTAAGTAAAAGAGAATGTGTTAAGAGGGTTTTGGAGAGCTCAAAAATAGGAACAAAGGAAGGTTCTGCAGCTGGAATCAAGACCACAATCAAAACCTAGAACTGATCTGGCAAGGACCCTGATGCACTGTTGTATCCCCAAAACTTCCAACTCTGTACATAAGGTGCTGCTGCTGGCATCGTTATCAGTGTTGTCCAGACACTGGGTCTGACTGCCAGTTCTGTTTGGGTCAGAAAGGTTTTCCTTGTTCTGCCTTTTGGTTCACTAGTTCCCTAGTCATTGTCAGTCCAGGGCCATCTCACTGGGTAAGCCTAGGTCCCTTGGGCAGGCTGAGAAGGTGAATATTTGATGTTTTCAGCTTCTGTAGTTGGAGATGAGCACTATCTCCCACAACTCATTAGATGGGGAATTTGCCAAAATAGGAAGTTAGTAGGGGGCTAAAAAATGACTAAGGCACACTAAAAGGGTCTTGGGAGAGAAACAGCCAAATAGTGGATATTATGAACTGGTTTGCTTGATTGTAGCTAGTAATCATTTATCATTCACCACTGCCTCAAGTTTATTGGGCATCAGCCACATGCCAAGCAGTGGGTGAGGCGCTTTTCCATCCTTTATATCCTGTGCTCCCACCATAACCTTGTAAGATTGTGGAGATACAAAGGAGGTCAAACAGTGGTATCACTTGTGAGAAAGACTTGAAGCACAAGCTGAAAAGACTGGAGGCAAAGGGGACACTATGCATGTCTGGAGAGGCAAGTCCAAATTGCCCCACGAGAGGTTGTCCTCTTGGGAAACTGGTAGTAGTCTGATAATGAGAAACTGTTGCTTCTCTCCTCCTGCCATTCCTGCTTCTTTTATCTTTACTTCCATCCTATGTGGCCGACTTGGCCTTCAGCTTCGGGGACTATAGAATTGCTTTTTAAAAAACCGCAAAAAACAAAACAGTTTTGTTTTTAATTGACACATAATGATTGTACACATTTGTGGGGTACAGTGTGATGTTTTGATACATGTATGTACATTGTCTAATGATCAAATCAGGGTAATTAGCATATCCATTACCTAAAACACTTGTCATTTCTTTGCGGTGAGAACACTCAAAATTCTCTCTTCTAGATAGTTTGAAATATACAATATAAATAATATACATTATTGTATACATGTATATTAATATATATTATTGTATACATGTATATTAATATACATGTATATATAGTAATATATATTATATACATGTATATTAATATACATTTATATATAGTTATATATTATTATATACATGTATATTAATATACATTTATATATAGTAATATACATTATTAACTCTAGTCATTCTATTGTGCTATCAAATACTAGATCTTACCATCTCATTTAATCTTATAACATTTATATTTCTCAAAATCCTCTCCTCTAGATATTGTGTATCTCTTTTGAGATATACAGTACATTATTATCAACTATAGTGGCCTTTCTGTGCAATAGAGCACCAGAACTTGTTCCTCCTATCTAACTGTAACTGTGCACTCATTGATCAACCTCTCCCCATGCCCCTCCCCTTCCTCTCTTCAGCCTCTGGTAACCACCATTCTACTCTCTACTTCTATGAGATCAACTGTTTTACAGAAATGCTCCTTTGTGCAGAGCTCTCTTTTTGCAGAGACCCCCCTGCTCTGTGGGGATGCCCTCCATCTGCTACTCTTTGTCCCCTATGGTTCAGAGTTTATACAGCCGCTTTCCCTAACTATTTTTCACATGCCCACCCACTCCCCCAGCATGGGCTGGTGAACTGTTGACTGCTCAGGGCCTGGATGCTACTCAGTACTGATGACCCAAACTTTCTGCCTCTTCCTGCAGCCACTAAGCACAGCTGGCATCCTGAGCTCCTCTTCTGCCGCTTCCAACAGGTCAAGGAATAAGGCTCGCTATCGGACCAAAGCCGTGAGCTCTGAAGTGGATGAGAACCTCTTTGGAGATATCAAGGTAATCTTCAACAAGTCCTTTCAAGTCAATGCCACCTGCAGGCAGAAGCCCAAAAATGTAGCTCAGGGCAAAGCTTCTGCTGAGTAACCTTGCTCTCATAGGTAGCTCTCAGACTGAAGACAAAGGGGAATTCTGAGACCTGAGTTGCAGAGCTTTGGGATCTAGTGGGGCCTATTTCAACAGGGACACCCGGCTTCTTCCACCCCAGAGTCTCTCATGTCTTCACAGTGTTTAAAATCTGTTGTAATGTCAAAAGGGAGGCTCAGCTGCAGAGAGTGCAATAGTTGCAGTTGAGCTCCATGATGGAACCGCTGGAGGGCTGATGGGCTAAGCTTGCAGACAAGAGCAACATCTTCCCCCTCCATCCAAGGATAATAGCATCAGAGTACAACACAAAACCATCCTCCTTTCCCAGTTGCTCAACTAAAACAATTATTTAGCTTTGGGAAATGAGCAGGTCTTTATTTGCAAGTGTTGTCTAGACCAAGAGGTTGACAACTCCTTTAGTCTGGATAAAGAGAGCTAGATAATAGAGCTTTGACTGATTTTGGTACACATGGAGTTTAGTAGGTGAGAAGGAAGAGAGGGAAGGAGAAAAAGGGAATGAGACATGGAGAGAAGGGCAGTGAGAGTTTAAGAGAAGGGGAAAAGGGAAAGAGAGACACCAATAGTGATCTGAATCCCTCTGCCAGTGGGGAAGGTGGGGAGAGGAGAGTTGGTGTTGCTCTTCAACATCTTCATTGTGAATTGAAGGGGACTCTCCAGAGGGATCCAGATAGGCTTCTTAATCCATTTAGAAGACTCTCACTCTGCAGCAGTTTTCCTGTTGGTAAGGGAAAGGATCAACAGATGCATTTATTTATTTATATTTTTTTAAGACAGGGTTTCACTCCTGTCACCCAGGCTGCAGTGCAACGGTACAATCTTGGCTCACTGCCACCTCTGCTTCCCAGGCTCAAGTGATTCTCCTGCCTCAGCCTCCCAAGTAGTTGGGACTACAGGTGCATACCACCATGCCTGGCTAATTTTTGTATTTTTTGTAAAGACAGGGTTTCATCGTGTTCCCCACACTGGTCTTGAACTCCTAAGCTCAAGCAATCTGCCTGCCTTGACCTCCCAAAGTGCTGGCATTACAGGTGTGAGTCACCCCACCTGGCCGAAATGCAATTTCACTTACAGACATTTGTGTTGTTGTTGCTGTTGTCGTGGGTACATGTGGAGTTTTCTAGTCAAAGCAAAGAGAGATTTGGAATTGGCTGAGTTCTCCAGGAGCAGTCACGCTGGCTGGCAAAAGGTGGTTATCAGAAAAATGCTTGTCCCTTGCCCAGTTTCTTTGGCCTCATTGGTGGGTAAGAGTTCAGGAAGTCTCTCAACAGGCAGTAGAGGGCAGAAGTGGCCTGTGGCATGACTGAGTTGTGCCCACGTGAAAGCAGAGATGGGCACCAGGTGGCAGCAGCACACAGGGGACTGTGAGTGCAAAGTGAGGTAGGACAAGTGGGGCCATCCCCCTGCCTCTGGTCAGGATCACAGTGGCTGCATTAATGACACATCCTTTCCTGTGTTTAGATATTTTCTGAAACAGGTGATTTCATTTTCTTGTTATCTAACTCCTTCAGGTTGGAGAATTTTGAAAAACAAAAACAAAACAAAAAAAACACAGTCTGTGTTCTTGCTGAATTCTAACTCACTGACCTCAGCACCAACTCAATGAGCTGGTAGAGAACTACCCATAGATCTTAAGGGTAGGCCTCTGCAGGTCATTTAGCAATTTCTATCTCCTTCAATATGGCTTTTTGCGGGGGTTAAAGTAATTTAATTGTAAGAAAGAATTTAAAATGACCAAGGTCAAAGACTGTAAGAGTCTGTAGCAAATTGTATTGCTTCAAACCCACTGTGTGGTCCTAGAGAGATAATTATTTCTTCTTTCGTAAAGGAAAATCTTTCATGGAGAGAGGAAAACCTAGAGACCAGAAATTTGCTTTCATTCCTGATGACTTTAGACTCGGTATAGACACACACTAGTGACCGCCACTCTTTACTATCCCTACCGTTCTGCAAGGAATATCTGTGCAAGAACAAGAGACTTGTTCTCTGAAAAGCTGGTCAGGACCCAGCACGGTGGCTCACGCCTGTAATCCCAGCACTGTGGGAGGCCCAGGTGGGCGGATCACCTGAGGTCAGGAGATTGAGACCAGCCTGGCCAACATGGAGAAACCCCATCTCTTCTAAAAACACAAAAATTAGCCAAGTGTGGTAGTGGTTGTCTGTAATCCCAGCTACTCGGGAGACTGAGGCAGGAGAATTGCTTGAACTCGGGAGGCAGTGGTTGTAGTGAGCCAAGATTATGCCACTACACTCTAGCCTGAGTGACAGAGCAAGACTCCATCTCAAAAGAAAAAAAGAAAAGAAAAAAAAAAAGAAAAGAAAAGAAAAGAAAAGCTGGTCAGTACAGAACACATCCAGCCATGCTCAGATATAGGGCATCACGCTGGTCTATCCTTGAAGTTAGGACTGACCAGCAGGAAGTGGGGGTGACAAGCTTCTAAGCTATTCTTTCTGAACTCATAGTCCCCAGCCCAGGGCCAGAGTGACAGCCCCATTGTGCTGCTCCGAGATAAGCATACCCTTCAAAAAACTCTCACTGCTTTGGGCTTGGATCGAAAGCCAGAGACCATCCAGCTCATCACCCGGGACATGGTCCGAGAGCTCATGTGAGTACACAGTCCCCTGTCCTTCTTTGCCCAGTCCCTATCCTTTTGCTAAGGATCTTTGCAAGGAGATGGATAAACCCACCTGGTTTCATTCTGTCCGTCCAATCCCCACTTCTTTCCTATTCATTTTCCCCTTTTTGTTTGATAGTTCTTTCTTTCTTCTCCGTCCTGGCCTCTCTTGTTTCTCCCATTGTATCTATTATTGCCACTGTCCTTTATTCTCAGCTTCATTCTCCTTCCTTACTTCTGGCTGGCTGTGTGAGCTAAGGGACTGGTAGAGGGGAGGTGCTTAGTGAGTCCTCTCTAAGTCCCCATTAGTGCCCTCCCTAAAGAGAAGTGATCCAGATGAGTCACTTCCTTTCGGCTGCATTAAGAATCTGAAGCAAAGGGAAACTGACCAGATGCCTCATTAGACCCCTGGCTTCCTCCCAGACTCTAAGGCCATAAGAGGAAATTCACAGGGGCTCCTTGGTTTCCTTTGGGATTAGCTGAGCCCCGCTTCCTGACTAGAGCTGCCCCCAGGCTTGAGCCCCTCCTGTGGGGCTTAGGCCTAGCTCAACCATGTGCCATGAGCCAACACTGCTCGGTGGTTTAGCTCTTGTGTTAGTGCTTCACCCTTTACAACCGTTCTCCCTGCCCTGGCTCCACCCACTAAAAACCCTAATTCCCAGAAAATGCTACCTGTGTCACAGCTGGGGAAGCACATCTGGGACACACCCCGGGAGCTGTGTTGGACTGCGGTCCCTTACTGACCATGTCTGGTCAGCCCTCGCATCAAGTGGCCAGATGTGGCTAGAGCCCTGCAGCCACTCCTGGAGCTGGAGGAAGGGCTCCTTCTTGGAGCCATCTGGTCCTGAAAACACGTCAGAGGACAAGTGGCTGGTTATTTTTCAGGGCTGCTGAAAGTAGTATGAACTGCTGTCTTAGATTCAGATCACTGCTGGTCACCCCAGATCCTAGGCTGTTTAGGGCCACACTGCTTCGTGAAACACAAGATCTTGGCTAAGCTGCAAATCCACTCACTCATTCTGTCCATCTCCTGGACCACCCTCCCCCAACACACACACACTGGTTTTATTAGATGAGGTTTCACTTCCTGTCTCAGACCATCTGTCTTATTGGCATGTACCTGCCTCACCCAGAAGCAGCTTTCTTCCCACCTCCCCAACTACTCCCTCCCCCATCTTTAATGTATGTCATTTGCTTGTAATCATTATAATTAGTGATTGGTTTGTTGAATGCGTTGGATAGCTAGAAAGGAGAGGTCTATAGACGTCTCTGGCTATTGTTGATCATAGATTTTAATTAATATTTAGGGTTCAAAGCTTCTCTCTAGGCTGGATAGGCAGGGAAGCTTAGGTTTCTAACTAGCATCTACATCAACCTTGTCTGGCGTCCTCTTGCCCTTTTTATGTCATCCTTGAGGAATAATCTGTTTTTAAAGTTTAATTCAACAGCTTTGTTTTGAATTCTCACTCTGTGGCAAGCGCTGTGCTAGAGACTAGGCTACCAATGTGGTTAAGACAGAGTTTGTGTCCTGAAGGAGCTCATAAAGGAAACAGAGCCTGCATGATTGGCTGTGATACAGGCAGTAAGAACAGAGTGCAGTGGGGGCTCAGAGGAGGAGGTGATCTATTGGGTCTTGGTGGGTGGGGGGGCAGAGTGGGCACATGTGGACATGATGGGGGGTGGGTCTCAGCTGCACAGAGAAGGTAACATATGAGTTGGACCTTATAGAAAAAGGACTTAAAATGTCTCTTTTTAGCCTGCAGTGCTACCTGACCCCCACCTTGGAACCTCTACTCCCCATGGACCCATGGCACACTTACCGTCTCTTCTGCCACTGGAGAAGTCCACTGGCATGATGGGGAGAGGGGAAGAGAGCAGAGAAGCCTAAAGTGTGGTGCCGAGAACTTTCCCTCTCACCTCCCTAAATCTGTTCATTCTTGTGTCAGTGTTCCCACAGAGGATCCTTCCGGGGAATCCCTAATCATCAGCCCTGAGGAGTTTCAGCGAATCAAATGGGTATCCCATGTCCTGACCAGAGAAGAACTTGAGGCCAGGGACCAGGACTTCAAGAAGGAGAAGGAAGCCATCATGGTAGTTAACCTCCCTAAGCCTTTGCCTCTGCAGATGGGTGGCAGAATCAAAATGTACTGAGGAACTCTCATTAGGGGTCCCTGAAATGAGGCACAAATTACGTACTTAAGAAATATTGCAGAAAGGAGACCAAAGAGCAACACCTGAGATGAGAGGTGGGAGCAACTGGGGCCAAGGGGAGGGCTGAGAATGAAGCCAGGCTGTGGAACTTCTTGGTTCTGATGTCATCACTGGCCGAGGCAAAATTGTACTGGGTCACCTGTGATAGCCAGGCTAGCACCCAGGGCACAGAGCGCATGAAATAATCCCCCACTGAGCCAGACTGGTCTCCCTTAGGATGCAGTGATGACACGAAAGAAGATCATGAAACAGAAGGAGATGGTGTGGAACAACAACAAGAAGCTCAGTGACCTGGAGGAGGTAGCCAAGGAACGGGCCCAGAACCTCCTGCAGAAAGCCAACAAGTTGCGGATGGAGCAGGAGGAGGAGCTCAAGGACATGAGCAAGGTGGGCTCTTCATCTCTCCCTTCCCTCTGAGCGCTCACTGCCATCCTGCCTCCCTCCTCTTATTCCCACACTGGACAAGGTCAGGGACTGGTGGGGGTGTGGGCAGGGGAGGGGCAGCAGGAGAGCTGCACCTGCTGTGGTAGTTGCAGTGATCACAGTGAGGACTGGCTCTGCCACCTGCTTGCTGTGTGATCTTGGGCAAGTCACTTGCCCTCCCTGAGCCTCACTTTCTTCATTTGTAACTTGAGGGTGGTAAAACTGCTTTGTGGAATCATTGGCAGGATGAAATAAGCTAATAGATGGGAGAGGCTTTGTGGGCTGTGGATTGGTAAATTAAATGTGAAGTGTTACTTTTATTTTCATCCTGTTAGTTCAGTTCTGGCCACGTATGGTGGTCGAGGCAATTGGATGCTTTTGGAGTACCTAAAGCTCTTCCTTTGGCTGAGAGCATAAAGACCAGAGGCTCATTTGAATTCTGTTGTAACTCATTTGCACGTGGTTCCTTTCCTTACCAAACGAAAAGTGCTGATTCCCCAATCCCTGCACCTCTGATTTCTGTCTCTCAGGTAAATCTTCTCTACGTTTGCCTCCTTTAATTTTCTAAAGTTTTACTTTTGGGTTCTTATGGATGGGCCCATGGCTTTTCATCCCTTTCGTGTCATGTTGGGCTCTTCCAGCTTAAAAATCTTGTGGCCTGGCCTCTGCAAGAGTGTCTTAGCTCCCCTGAGGAGAACAAGGGGTCCAACCTGGAGTTCATGGGTCTCTAAGTGGAACAATGGACCTCTGAAGTTTTATAGAAATTTTGTGTGTATATCTGTAAGTGAATTTGATGGAGGAGAGGGCCTACTGCTTTCATCATATTTCCAAAGGGTGACCCATTACCACCAAAACCCTACGATGTAGCTCCCTGAAAGATGCTATTCCAGGCCCCGCCTTGCACAGACCATGGCACCTAGCAGGAGGCCAGTAAATCTTTGAGCTCAACTTTGAATATTCAGGGGAAAGGTAAATATAAGAACATTCTTATTTCCCCGGACTTGTGAGCAGTCATGCAGACCTCCGGCATGCTCAGCAGTATAGCATTGTGTTCCCATTTCTTCCCCTTAAACTTACACATCCCTAGGCCTAGTGCCACAGTTTAATCCCCACTCTCCAGATTATCCTCAATGCTAAGTGCCATGCCATTCGGGATGCCCAAATCCTGGAGAAGCAGCAGATCCAAAAAGAACTGGACACAGAGGAGAAGCGGTTGGATCAGATGATGGAAGTGGAGCGGCAGAAATCCATTCAAAGGCAGGAGGAACTGGACAGGAAGAGGAGGGAGGAAAGAATTAGGTAAAGATATGGTTTTGGCATCTCCCTCTCTAAGCTATTTCCATGTATCTTTAGGTCCATGTAGCCTAGCAAAGAGGGAAAAAATGCAAAATGGTCATTATTGTCATCTACTTATCTTAAAACTTCACTAAGTGATACACAGAATCACAGAACCTTTTTTTTTTTTTTTTTTTTTTTTTTTTTTTTTTTGAGAGGGAGTCTCACTCTGTCACCCATGCTGGAGTGTAGTGGCATAATCTTGGCTCACTGTAATCTCCACCTCCTGGGTTCAAGCGATTCTTCTACTTCAGCCTCCCAAGTAGCTGGGATTACAGGCACGCACAACAACACCCAGCTAATTTTTGTATTTAGTAGAGATGGGGTTTCACCATGTTACCCAGGCTGATCTCAAACTTCTGACCTCAAGTGATTAGCCGGCCTCAGCCTCCCAAAGTGCTGGCATTACAGGCGTGAGCCTGGCCGGAATCACAGAACTTTTAAAAGCTTATTTCCCAAATCTTGGGAGACACTTCACAGTCCGGCTGCAATCTCGTTTCTTACCCCTACCTGCCATCTACTTTCTGCTTTTTCCCAGGCCCCCAACATGCCAGGCCATGTCACAAGTTCTTAATTTTTTGTTGTTTTCTCTTTTTTTGAATACCCTCCTCTCTCCTTTTCCTCCTGGAAAATGCTCTCTCCTTCCCTTTATACATAGCTTTGCTGTCACCTCCCTCATGTCACCAGGCAGGCTTAGTGGCTCCCTTCTCTGCGCCCATCACTCTGTGTTTATACTCCAGCACCCTACTCTTGTGCTCTTGTGCTGTGGCTCTCTGACCCTCCTAGATGCTACGCTCATTGGGGACAGGTCCTATCGTATCAATTTCTGTAGCTTCTGAGCCTAGTAGAGTGTTTGGCCTGTAATAGGTGCTTAATTCATGTTAGGATGAATCAATTCAGTCTCCCCTTCATTTTGTGCTGAAAAGGACAAGTCCCAGAGCAAGTAAATTATAGAATAATAGTGTCCTAGATTTAGAACGCCAACCATTCAATACATGAATTACCTCTATAAATAATCCTTGTACCACACTGAATGGCAGTTTTATCTCCCCAGCTGTATCCTATTCTCTGGAACCATTCATCTCTGTACCTGGTATACTATACCTGGTACATTCACCTCTGTACTTCTGGTAGGTACCTGGTGTACTATAGTAGGTTCCCAGTAAAAGGTTATTTAGTGGCTAAGCGGCTGTCCATCTTCTGCATAAACAGCTCCAGTAAAGGAAAAATCTGTCTCATTAGGCAACAGTAATGATTTGAGCTGGTCCTTATATTGAGGCCAAACTTGTTTTCATGTAACCCTTTTACTCTTTACTCTGGTTTACTTCATCTGGAGTCATGAAGCCATTCGAGCACTCCATCTGAATGTGGCTCTCATACTCTTTTCCCTCGATCCTTATCCTAATCTGTGTCTTCTCCCATTCTTCCAGCCTTTACTCATATGTCATGGGGTCTATGCTTCCAAGTTTGTTGACACCCCATTAACACATAGGGAATCACTGGCAACACTGCTTATAGACCCTGGGTTTTTTTGTTGTTGTTGTTTTTTGTTTTTTGTTTGTTTGTTTGTTTGGCTTTTTACTATTCAGCTAGCTTCCTATGATTACTCTGGGAAGATTTGGGAGGTGGTAGGATTTCAGAAACTCTTTATATACTGGAAGGTAGAAAGTGTTTTATCAAGTGGGGTGCCCCTCTTGGGCAAACAAAGAAGGAGAATCTCAGGAAAAGTGAGCCCTGGAACCAGGAGCTCAGGAGAAAGGAGGCTAACCCTTGAGGTCCTTCTTGGGTGAAGGACTTTGGTCTGGGCTCATGAAGCATATCCATGTTTAAGGGGCACTTGTCAATTGTTTCTGTGACACCACCCAACTTGGCGGTTGTTTAGATGGAGGTTGGACTCTGGGAGACGTGGACCCTGGGTTTCTAAGACACTGTGGCACTGTTCTCTCCAAGAGGAAGGCGGCAAATTGTGGAACAGATGGAAAAGAACCAGGAGGAGCGATCACTACTTGCTGAGCAGCGGGAGCAGGAGAAGGAGCAGATGCTGGAGTATATGGAACAGCTCCAAGAGGAAGATCTAAAGGTAACAGGCCAGACAGACAATGCCATGTTTCACCACCAGCAGCATCAAAACCCTTCAAGACTCTGGGGTTTCAGGGTGTTGAATGATTTTCTGCCAGGCACATGCTCATTTCACAACATCATCACCATCAACTTTTTATTGCCATGTTAAATATTTATTTCACCATGGTGTCATGCTGGGGGATGAGCAGTGATTTGGATAGATATTGTCCCTTCCTTCCAGGGACTTGGGGTCCAAGGCTGACAAATCATTGTGAATAGACACATAAAGGAAATATATGGCTGCATGCCTTGCACAAGTAAACAGGGATGTTTTATGGTCTTCCCTCAATCACCTAGGGATATTATATACTTTGTAGATGAACAGTAGCAATATCTGAGTTCCAGTCTCCCTACCGTTACTTCACGCGAAGTACATAGCATCCCATTGTCATTAATTGTGTGGTGAAGCCAAACCTTTTCTTCCTGTTAGTCCAAATAAAATTAGTAGGCGTATTTATTGCAAAAGAAATGATGACATACCTGCCCAAACTAAGAAGACTTAAAATGTCCTCTTCTATGTGCCTTTTCTGGGATGTAACAATGTGTAAAACCCTCTAGCACAGTGAGGGACATGGCAGGCACTTGGATAATTTTTTTTTCCTCAATTTTTTATTTTGAAAATTTTGTACACACAGACAGAAAAGTTGAAAAAATTGTATCACACCCATAAACTCTTCACCTAGATTTAATGATTGTTAATCATTTACCTTAGTTGCTTGTTTCTTTCTAGGGGTGTGTGTGTGTGTGTGTGTGTATATATATATATATTTATTTATTTTTTGAGACGGAGTCTTGCTCTGTCGCCCAGGCTGGAGTGCAGTGGCCGGATCTCAGCTCAATGCAAGCTCCGCCTCCCGGGTTTACGCCATTCTCCTACCTCAGCCTCCCAAGTAGCTGGGACTACAGGCGCCCGCCAACTCGCCCGGCTAGTTTTTTTGCATTTTTTAGTAGAGACGGGGTTTCACTGTGTTAGCCAGGATGGTCTCGATCTCCTGACCTTGTGATCCGCCCGTCTCGGCCTCCCAAAGTACTGGGATTACAGGCTTGAGCCACCGCGCCCGGCCTATGTTTATTTTTTTATTGTTAAACTATTTGAAAGTAAGTTGCAGATATCTTGACACTCTGCCACTAAACGCTTCAGCCTGCAGCTCTAAAGAACATGGATACTCTCTTACATGACAATACCATTATCACCGCCTCCATAAAAAACTTGAATTCAGTGATTCCATAATGTCATTTAATAGTTAATGCACATTCATATTCCCCAATTGTTCCAAATACGTTTTTCTGGCTTTCTTGTTTCCAAACTAGACGTTAATCAAGGGTTGCACATTGCATTCCGTTGAGTCTCTTTAGTTTGTTTTGATCTAGAAGAGTTCCCCCATTCATTCATTCATTCATTCATTCATTCATTTCTTCTTTTTTTTTTTTTTTTTTTTTTGAGACGGGCAGTCTAGCTCGTGTCCCCAGGCTGGAGTGCAGTGCCGGATCTCAGCTCACTGCAAGCTCCGCCTCCCGGGTTCACGCCATTCTCCTGCCTCAGCCTCCCGAGTACTGGGACTACAGGCGCCCACCACCTCACCCGGCTAGTTTTTTGTATTTTTTAGTAGAGACAGGGTTTCACCAGGTTAGCCAGGATGGTCTGGATCTCCTGACCTCGTGATCTGCCCGTCTCGGCCTCCCAAAGTGCTGGGATTACAGGCTTGAGCCACCGCACCCGGCCCTCTTCATTCATTTTTATAACACTAATATTTTGAAGCAGCTAGGCCAGTTGCCTTTAAGAATATCTCACATTCTGAATTTGTTTGATTGCTTCCTCATGGTGCCATTTAACTCTTGGAACACATATTCTTTTACGATTCTCTCCCTCCCCTGTGTTTATGAATTGTCAAGTTGTCATCAGCTAGTGCATTTGATGGTGGTGAGTGACAGGGGGACGTGAAGAGTCCCGCAGGTGGGCAGACTTGTAATTATGAAGCCTTCTCACCACACCTGCAGTGTGAGGAGCTGCTAGAGAAGAGGAATGAAGATCACCTGAGTAGCTGGGGAAACCGAAGGGGCTCACAGCCCTGTGAACTGCATGAGAAGGAGAATAGCAGAGTGAAGACAATGAGAGACCTGCCCAAGTTACTCCATTTCCTGGCTCAGGGGAGAGAGAATGGGAAAGGGCCAAGAAGGAAAGTTATGGGGCAAATATGCAGGGTAGAGGGCAAGAAGTGAGGGTGGGAAAATCCAACTAGATGTGGGGAGTGGGAATTGGTGGACTCACTGAGAAAGTTCTAGGAGTCCATGAGTCAGCACCATTACGTTGATGTTGTGTCATTATCCTTTTAATGTCCTTCCAACAGGCACTCCTTGAGTCTCCAGGAAGTATTATTGGGCAATTTTAGCGTAGAAACCTGTGCCTTCCCAGCTTTAGACCTACTGTATCATCTCATGGTGGTACTAAGGGCAACGTTTCCCACCTTGCTAGCAAACGGGAAAAGAGTGAAGGGAGTTTATCTGGGGTTGCTTTGGAAAGGCTTCAAAAGAAACAGGGAAAGTCCTTTGGTGTCTTGGAAATGAAATGAACCAACAAAAACAACAATCCAAAAAGTAAATAAATAGGGAAAGAAGTAAATAAATACATAATTGCATGTATGTCATACATCAGAAATCAACAGCACCTTTAGCTTTGAGGGCCAGTGAGATTAAATGATGTCTGGGATACAAATAGCATGCGTAAAATCAGTGAGAAGCAGTTAGAAAGGAAAGGAAGAAGGGGAGAAGGGGGAAAGGGAGTGTGAGAGTTGGAGGAGCAGAAAGGGAAAAGTGGAGTGTGCAAAGAAATGAGTATGGTGAGAGAGAGGGAATGTCTGTGACTCATGCACCACATGGACCTCAGAGGCAGACAGTTGCTGTACCGCTCTGGTTCGGAAGGCTTCCTGAAGGAAGGAGCCCTGAACTGGGCAGTGAGCCAAGCTGGCAGAGAGCCAACTCTAGAGGAAGACACACAGGGAGAGTTACCTTGGTTGGACTTATCAGGGCAGCAGCTGGGCTGAGGAAGAGCTGGAAGGCCAGGGAGGGATTTAGTCTTTGGAGAAACGGAGGGAGCTGGAAATAGTGTGGGAGGTGGGGTGAGTTAATCAATAGAAGAACTTAAGGAGTCTGAGATTGATTGGAGGTGATTGAGGGGCCAGCTGTTCCCCTAATTCCAATGCACCTCTGCACCTGAGAATGTGCTTGGCTCAGAAGTGGTCTGATCATTGAGAGACATTGAAGGCTCAAGGCTGGGAAAGGCAGGGGGATCCTTCCTTAAAAAGGACCTTGTTCACATTAGTACTCTGATCTCCGTCAAATGTTTCTCTGCATCTAAGAACTTTTTTTTTTCTTTTCTTTCTCACATGCCTCTCACTTTGGTCCTACCTTCCTTGCCTCATTTAGCAATGGGTTATCGAATATTTGCTATTTTCCTTGCATTGGGCTACATGTTTTTGGGGAAGAGAGGATGTGTGACACAAGGTCCCTTGTCCTGTAACTGGGGCAGAGCGAACACATATGAAATGAGTGGGGACCTGCAAGGCAGTGTATGATCACCTTACAAGAGGTGTGGCGCCACCTGAAGTGCAGAGGGAATTTAGAAATGGAGAGAGAACTGAAAGTTGAGGCAATCAAGCAAGATTTCCAGAGAAGGTTGATACTTTAATTTACACAGAACAGGTTTCAAAATTTTAGCTCTGGAGATTATAAGCTGTGTGGCCGGTGGGGAAGTCACTTCAATGCTGGGCCGCACTTTCTTTATTGGAGCAAGAGAGATAATGAGGCCTACCTTTTAGGATTTTTGGACATATTTAGGTATTAGAGATAGTCTGTGTACAATGCTCAAGAAATAGAGAGTACTCAGTTAGGGCAATAGGTATTATTTCAGTCGTCACTATTGACTGGAGAGTGAAAGTTGGGTTTAAATGGGAGAGGGAAATTGAAGGCAGGAGGAAGCACCGTGAGCAAAGCCACAGGGGTGGGATTTAGCAAAACATGTGAGAGGCAATTCCATGGAACTTTAAGAGCTTCTGCTTCCTGAAAATATAGAGATCAATAGCATCAGGGGCTGCCACAAAGTCAAGTTGGATGAAGACTGTAAAGAGGCCATTTGGTTGAAGAGGGCATTGATGACCCTTGAAAAAACAGCTTTAACAAAGGATAGTTGTGGACGCTAGACTGCAGGCAATGCATTTGTCCCCCGTCCCCTCCCCCGCCATCTGTGTCTCTCTATCTCTGGATGCCAGTGGCTTCTCGTCTTACCTCTTTGTACTCTGAGGCTTTCTTTTTTTTGCGGGCAGGACATGGAACAAAGGCAGCAGCAAAAACTGAAGATGCAAGCTGAGATTAAGCGCATCAATGATGAAAACCAGAAACAGAAAGCAGAGCTGCTGGCTCAGGAGAAGCTGGCGGACCAGATGGTGATGGAGTTCACCAAGAAGAAGATGGTAGGGACTAGGTTTCTGGGACCTTTGGCTAGGAATGGAATGTCTGTCACAGGGAGAGGAGGGCCGAGAACTGAGGGAACTTCAGTGGAAGGCAGCCGCACCTTCATTCTACGATGCACATCCTTAGTTCAAGGGCCTGGCTTCTTTGTCTCTTCATCTTAGCCAGGCCACTTGTTTATTAACAGAGACAGCCTAGAAAGGACACCCAAATTAGCTTTATCCTCATTAACACCTTTGATTAGAAGTTGGGATGAGGCCCATGTGCAGGCAGAAAAGAAAACTAAAACCAATGGGGAAAGTAGGTTTTTTGTGGATTTGTCACTACTTGCATAATTATACCCCCGGTAATCATGAGTCAGAGGTTACATAAATTTCTTGTGCAAATGCCTATATTGGGCATCCTGTATTGGGTGCTAGACTCAGAAAATAGTCTTCCCCTGTCTCCCACCAAAGAACCTATAAGACAGAGCAAATGCACAGTGAAGGAGAGAACCATACCAACAGACTGTTGCAGATGAATGTAGCTCATGAATGTGTCAGTTCATTCTGGGGCAAAGTTGAGTAATAAAATGATTGGGATCTATGGGGTTTGGAGAGTAGAAGATGGCTTTTAAGAGTGGTTTAGATAAAGTGAACGTGGATTTATATAAAAAGAGGAGGAAGTACTCAAAGTGGCAGGAAAGTTATTAAATTCTTCATGTGTTGGTCTTGTCTGCCCTGCTAGTTTTGAAATTCCATGACAGAAGCACATTATACTTCTCTATGCTCCTCTATAGTAGTGATTTTTAAAGAAGGCCAAGGGGAGGGCGTGAGTATAATTTGAATGGCATATTTGGTATACCTATATGTTCTGAATACAAACCACAGAAAATGAAGCTCAGCTAAGCTCACTTATTGGCTTTAGTATTCTTATTGGATGCTGGGGACACTCTATGCAAGCAATAGAGTGAGAATGCAGGATTGGGGACATAGATGATTCCTACATAATAACAACCACATAACTATCATTTAGTGAGCACCTAATCTGTGCATGGGCTCTGTGCTAACATGTATTATCTCTTTTAATCTTTACAATAATCCTGTGAAATAGTCATTGATGATTCAAAATATACTGGATCCTTCAATATGTGTCCAGTCAGACTAGGCTGAAAATACCTAGAATAATGCTATACCATTGGAACTCAACCACTATTTTCCCAAGTGGATGAAGGTGGGGATAATGAGCTAATTCTGTGTAGGAGTTAGTGCACATATTTTCTGGCTGCAGCAGAGAGTTTGTAGTCGACATAATAAGAAATGAGGGTGGTGAGATGGAGAGCTAAGAGCAGTTGTTGGGGTGTCTTGGACCTTGAGTGGAACTGGAAGGGTGGAATGATAAGGATCGCCATGAATTTCTAAGCAAGAGAGGAGTATATCTTATCTTTATCATGGAAAGGTGTAGCTGGGAGAGGCGGGAGACTGGCCACAGGATCAGGCACTTGGGCATGTCCACAGTCTACCGTAAGTATCTACGTATATCACAAACCCTTACCGACCTCATGGTGGTATTTATTCTTGCAGCCAGGGCTGCCCCTGCAGAGCTAAAAGCAGAGATTGGTTGTAGAAACACCCAGAGTTCCCTGTCCTGCTATCTAGGGCAGGGTGGGCAGAGGAAGCAGCTTGGCAACAGCCCTGTACAACTTACAGGGACAACTCACTGGCTTCACAGAAATCTGGTCAGGTAAAATGAGGGCCAAGGAAGGCTTTTTTTTGTTTTTTAGATGGAGTCTTGCTCCGTCACTAGGGTGGAGTGCAGTGGCGCCATCTCCGCTCCCTGTAACCTCTGCTTCCCACTTCAAGTGATTCTCCTGCCTCAGTCTCTGGAGTAGCTGGGACTACAGACATGCGCCACCATGCTCAGCTAATTTTTGTATTTTTAGTAGAGACGCAGTTTCACCATGTTGGCCCCAACTGGTTTGATCTCTTTACCTCGTCATCTGCCTGCCTCAGCCTCCCAAAGTGCTGGGATTACAGGTGTGAGCCACCATGCTGGGCTGGGAGGATTCTTTATTAAGGTCACATTTCCCTCCAACCTGCACCATTCATCTTATGATGGCTTAAGGATGGCAGTTGGGAAGCTGGGCTTGGGAAGCTTTTAAGGATATGTGTGTTTTTTCAGAGAGGTGGAAAGGGAGCTAATTTTGATGGTTCATTCTTTAAGTATCTGGTAACCACTGTGGGACTGCCCAAAGCATGGTTGGCTCTTTGCCCAGGCACTAATGAGATAACCTCCACCTGCTGTACTTTACAAGCCAGGCAAAGAACCACAGTTGTTTCTTGGCCCAGTAGCCTTGCAACTTGAAAATTGTCTATGACATAGTGGAAGGAGTGTGAAAGCCAGGGTCAGGGTACCTGTGTTCAAATCCTGTTAGGTAGTTTACTTCCTGTGCAATCTTGGGCAAGACCCTTGATCTTTCTGAGCATCAGTTTCCTCATCTATAATATCTGTCTCATGAAATGTTGTGAGGGCTCTCCAGGATAACACATAGGACAGTGTTTTGTAAACAATAAAGCATTTTATAAATGCTAATTGTTTTTATGTTCATGCATTGCTAAATTCATTTTACCTTATTTATTTATTTATTTATTTATTTTGAGACAAGGTCTTGCTCTGTTGCCCAGGGGAATGCAGTAATGCAATCATGATTCACTGCATCCTCGACTTCCTAGGTTCAAGCAATCCTCCTACCTCAGCTTCCCGAGTAGCTGGGACCATAGGCATATGCCACCATGCCTGGCTAATTTTTAGATTTCTAGTACAGACAGAGTTTTTCTCTGTGGCCTAGGCTGGTCTTGAACTCCTGGGCTCAAGCAGTCCTCCTGCCTCAGCCTCCCAAAGTGCTGGGATTATAGGCATGAGTCATGGTGCCTGGCCTCATTTTGTCCTATTTTAAAAGGAGTCAGGAAGTGGTATGGGGGATATTGGAAAGTCTGTTGTAGGGGTTTTATTTCACTCTGCAAGGCTGGGGCAATGGCAATTGTTCTACAAGGTCTTTCCTTCCGGCAGGCTCGAGAAGCAGAGTTTGAGGCTGAGCAGGAGAGAATCCGGAGGGAGAAAGAGAAGGAAATCGCCCGCCTGAGGGCCATGCAGGAGAAGGCCCAGGATTACCAGGCAGAACAGGTACCTGCTTAGTCTCGACTTCCCTCTACTTTTCCCACTCCCTTGCTTGTCCATCCCTTTGATAGCCTGTAGAATGGCCTCGAGGGTGGAGATGTGGAGGAAAGGATGCAAGTTACTTAGACTTCAGTAGTCTGAGAAGGAAAGGGTGGGTCTGCTCCCAAGGCCTGTGTCAGCAGGGATTGGGCAGTGCAACATGTGCTTAAGGTTCAAGAGAAAGTTTTTCACTGCTCCATAAAGAAAAACTTTCAACCTTAACCAACCAATGAAATGTGTCACCAGGGGAAACTGTGGTATCTCCATCATTAGCAGTTTTTAAAATTAGAAGTGATTTCAAGACTGCCTGGAGATGTCTGAGGTACAGGGAAAGAACTGGGATGAGTGGGTTGGAAGGACAAGATGACCCCTCAGGTTATCTTCTAACCCAAAAGTTTGATGACAGGATTCCATTTATCCTTTCCTAGAATAACTAGCTGCCAGAGAAATTCATGGTGCTTTTCAAAGCAGACTGTCAGAGTCTGTAAGTAGGTGTCTTCTTAAAGGCACTTGGTCTGTACTTCCAGCTATATTGTGCCCTCACTGGTCCCCTGCCAACTTTCCCAGGATGCCTTGCGGGCCAAGCGCAACCAGGAGGTTGCAGACAGAGAGTGGCGCAGAAAGGAAAAGGAAAATGCGCAGAAGAAGATGGAAACAGAGGCCGAGCTGCGGAAAAGTCGGCTCGAACAGGTGGCTTTCAAGGAGCATGCTCTGGCTGTTCAGGTGCAACGGGATCGAGATGAGTTCGAGAGGATTCTTCGGTAGGAGGGGCCTGGGAACTTTGGATTCCTTTCCTTGTACTGTAGCAGGGATGGTCCATACTGGATAGAGAGAAGCTTTCTGGCATGTTAACAGATGCTCGTCCATCTTGTCTGGGTTGGTGGGATCATTATAACTAGATGGACGATTGAAACTTTTAAAAATCACTTGAGCCAAGAATTTTGTGATTAGAGAATTGGGAGATAGCACCTGGAATTGCTTAAGGAATTGGCGATGACTGGGATTATTTACCCTGGAGCAGTAAAAGTATAAATAAAGGTAAAAATCTGGTCCCTTCTGCTGCCCTCTGACTCATGTCCCCCTGCAAATTAGGGATGAAACTGCAAGAGGAGTGGTTTAGGAAAGATAGAGATAAGAACTTCAGACACTAAGGGTTATGAGTCATTGGCGCAGGACTTTAAGGGAGCCTTTTGCCATTCATTTGACAAATATAAAGCAGAGAAATGCAGGGCTCTGTGCTGGATGCCATGGAGGACATTAGAAATTAACAAGACACTGCTCTTGCCCATTCCACAGGAAAGGTATTAGAGATTTGTGTTTGGATGGACCGTACCTACATCAATCCATCTTTCTTCCTTGGTAGCTCTTTATCCTTTTACTTTTGTTTTCCCTTTTGGCTCAATGATAATTTCAACACATAAGTGGAAGCTAAATGTTCACATCTCTCACTGTTCTGCTCCCTCCCCCAAAGCAGTCAACAGTCACAGCTGCCATTGGTTTCCCTCTCTGCTCTATTTTCCACCAATCAGATCTGCCACCCCCAGACCTGGTCCCTGGGAGTGTTCTCCTGGTCTAACTGGGAATGACTGTCTTTTTGCTCTGGTTCAGACCCTACAACATCAGGATATTTCAAAAGGAAACAAGCCAAGCAAAATATTTGAATTGAGGAGATACAAAATTACAGACATTATGCTCAGATAAGTAGAGATTAAACAGTATGGCATCACTTTCTTGGTTCATATGCTCTAGGTCCTTCCTCTTGGTAATGGGTAGTTAGTTGCATGCCAGACCAGGCTACCCAGACCGCTAGCTAAAGGCAGAGCAGGTCTTCAGGAACCTCTGTCCTTACCAGAGCCAGATTTTTGGCCTTTTATTGGACTGCAGGCCCCAGCATGTCCCCCCTGCTGTGATGCCCTTTGAGTCTGTAACTTTCTCTGCCCCCAGGGTTGTGCCATGGTCACTGGACACCTAGTGAAGAAAGTAGCATCCTAAATGCCCCCAAAGATTCTGCCCTTGGGCTACAGACTGCCTTCCAGATGTCTCCCCTCTCCTCCTTGGCCTCTATGCCCTTGGACATCTGTGTTGCTGTTAATAGGCACTAATAAATATTAATGAAAAGAAATTTAAGTCCTACTTTTGCTACCGACCCATTTGTCTTTCCTTTGCATCATTTGCCTGGAGCATATGCACTAGCCAGTTATTAAAGCTAGACCAGCCTTTTTGGAGAAGTTCAACTTTACCTGTTGTTGTAGATTAGTATCCAGGCCTAGTGTCTCCAGGGCCATGTGATCATCGTGGTGGATGTTTTCACTCAAAAGCTTCCCTGCCGCTGCCCAAATCCAACTTTCTCTGCTTCAGAAGCATGGCCTCCTGTATGGCCTATTTGTGGATTTTTTTTTTTTTTTTTTTTTGAGATGGAGTCTCGCTCTGTCGCCCAGGCTGGAGTGCAGTGGCACGGTCTCGGCTCACTGCAACCGTCACCGCCCGGGTTCACACTATTCTCCTGCCTCAGCCTCCCGAGTAGCTGGGACGACAGGCCCCCACCACCATGCCCAGCTAATTTTTTGTATTTTTAGTAGAGACGGGGTTTCACCGTGTTAGCCAGGATGGTCTCGATCTCCTGGCCTCGTGATCCGCCCACCTCGGCCTCCCAAAGTGCTGGGATTACAAGCGTGAGCCACCGCGCCCAGCCTATATGTGGACTTTTGTTTCTGGACAGAGGGATGTCCATACTTCTCAGCCTGTCGACTAAGCAGAGATAGCTGACTTCCCCTACCAAGTGGTTTTTAGAAATGTCTGGGAGCTTTTGAAAAATATGATGACCAGGCTCCACTTCCTGGATTGTGATTTAAATGGTCTGGGATGAGGCCCATGTGTGAATATGTTTCAAAAGCTCCCAGGTGATTCAAAAACGTAGCTAGGCTCTGTGAGCACTGCCCTAACCCAATGGAACAACCAGGTTCGTCCTCACTTGGATTTTCAACTGCCTGGCACCACCGGGGCTCTCTAGTGACACATACAAGTCCCCCTTTTCCACACTTACCCCTTCACTCAGAAGAGGGTGAAACAATAGAAAACTGTTCTAAATACAGGAAAACAATGGCAAGGCAAAGAGGAGAGAGACTTCCTGCTATCAGAGATGTGTCTGGGCAGTCAGGATTTGGTGTCTAAATACAGAGGGCTGAGGAAGCCAGCAGTTCTCTTCAGGCAAACTGGGAGGTCTCTGTAGAAGGTGTAGAATTTTAGGAGATGTTTGCATGATGGAAAGAGTTGCTGGGAGTAGAGAGGATGCCGCGTGTGTGGTGGATCTTGGAAGAAAGCTAGAGGGAAATGAGGAAATGAAGCAGTGTTGTAGGTACCTTTTGTTGGGGTATCAGTGACTCTAGGGGAGGAGAGCAGGTGAGAAATTCCTGCCTAAGATGATTTTATATTTCATTTTTAATATTATGTTGAGAACAAAATTAGATGTTAGCTTAAGAAGGCCTATAAATGCATTATTTTTCTGAGATGTGAATGCATTTCATTTGAGTGTTTTCTAAGCCTTTCCTGTTGCCATTAGTGATTTTCTCCCTGATGTCACGGTCCATGAAGTATTTTTGTGGAAGAGGTTTCTAAGGGAAATTTGGAGAGGTGGATCAGGAAGAGAACTGAGAGATATCAGGATGAGCTCCTTCCTTCTTCCACTAACCAGGGTGGAGTTAGCATGACACTTTACCGCATCTTTTACGTTTCCAAGCATCGAGGGAGGGAGGGAGGCAGGAAAGGAAGGAAGGAAGCAAGGAAGAAGGCAGGCAGGCAGGAAGGAAGGAAGGAAGGAAGGAGAGAGAAGAAATCTCAGGATATGCTGGAGAGGAGTTACGCATTGTTATCAGGGAGAAGTAGGAACAATAGCTCCCAGTGGGTGAAACCCTGGGTGTAAGACTGGCTACATAATTTTCAGGGCCCAGTGAAAATTGAGAATGTGTAGCTTGGGCAACATAATGAGACTTCATCTCTACAAATAATAAACAACAAATTAGCTGGGTGTGGTGGCACTCTCTTATGGTCCCAGCTACTTGGGAGGCTGAGGTGGGAGAATCACTTGAGCCCAGGTGGTTGAGGCTGCGGTGAGCTATGATAGCACCGCTGTGTTCCAGCCTGGGTGACAGAGCAAGAGAGTGTGGACTCCCTTGTTCAAAAATTTTTAAGAATTTCAAAACAGTGAAAGCAGAGCATCAAACCAAACTGGGGGCCTTTCTAAGCATGCCCATGACATCCAGTCATGCGACCCTGGAGCTAGTTCTCGCTGGGTGGGAGAAGGGGGGATGCATGGGCAGCAGCTTCTGGGGCTGATCTTTGAGTTACCAAATGGGGCTGGAGCACAGAGGGCTGCGGTCTCTGAGGCATGTCTACTGGAGGAGCCCACCCAGGAGGCTCCCCCACCACTTTTCCTGGCCTGGGTCAGCTCAGCTGAGTTCATTGCATTCCTGTTTCCTTCCCCCAGGGCTCAGAGAGAACAGATTGAGAAGGAGCGGCTGGAGGAGGAGAAAAAGGCCACAGGGCGCTTACAGCATGCCAACGAGCTCCGGCGCCAGGTGCGAGAGAACCAGCAGAAGCAGGTGCAGAACCGGATTGCCACCTTTGAGGAGGGCCGGCGCCTCAAAGAGGAGGCCCAGAAACGCCGTGAGCGCATCGATGACATCAAGAGGAAAAAGCTTGAAGAGCTGAGGTGCGCTGTAATCTCCTCCTTCCCCAGATCCTCCTCCCTCCCCCAAAGAGATGGCACCACAGGCTGGAAAGCATGGGATTTGGTGGTGAAAGGCCATGGCAGAGATGCTCAGGGAGAGGCCCTTCTCCCCACCCAGGCCTCATCCCTCAGAAGGGGGCTCCAGCAGAAAGTCCTGGGATGGGGTCTTGCTGGCTCTCTGGGAACTCCTTGGCAGGATGCTAGAGCCTTGGCATGAATATATGTTTCGGTGGTGGATTATGAGAGCAGTGTTGGGGGATGCAGTCCTCCAGGTTCTGTAAACCCCACCCAGAGCCTGCTTCCTCCCGCCTCCTGTCTGGTCCAGCACCTTTCCTTATACCTGCCTGCATTTCCCCGGCAGAGCCACTGGCCTTCCCGAGAAGTACTGCATTGAAGCTGAGCGCAAAGCTAACATCCTGCCAGCTACCTCTGTGAACTAAGGGGAGCCTTCATGGCCTTCAGGATGCCTTCGGGGGACAGATTCTGCCCAGTTTCTGGGTGTCTGTAATTGCTGCTAACCTAGACATTTCATAGTTACAGATTAAATCTATTTGACTTATCTAAGGAACAGCTTGGCTTTCTTGTGGGAATGTGGCTGCTACAGGGTACTGAAGTGGAGTAAAATAGGTTGTAGGGGACCCGAGTGTGGGTGGCGTGGTGCTGAGGGTAAGGGAATGGGAAGATGCTTCTATGATGGTTTCTCCTAAGCCAGGAGATCCCTTTGTCCTGGTATCTCCTGGCCTTTTTGTGATTCCCTGGGATGTGAACCTTCAGCACAATCTTGTCTCTGCTCCACCCTGACGCCCAGTTCAGAAGCATTTCAGGGCATTGAGGCACAGCTACAGATGCCTCTCAGGGAGGGGCTGGGGCAAGGCTTGGCCAGGTGGAGCTGGTGAAGGAGGCACCAGGGCCGGGTGAGGCAGGGCTCTTACTAGGATCACACCCATGACTCAGATCACATCTGTGGAGGGAGTGATGTTTGAACCTGGGGCTCACTGTGCCCGTCTCAGCTCTCTCCCACCAGAACCCTTTCAATTCCAGGCAATGCTGCAACACAGACACTGGCTCATCCCCTACTAGGGCACACCGAGAGCCCTGCACTCCCCACCCTGCCAGTCCAGTCCCCTCACCCGAACTCAGCCGCTCCTGTGGCTGGGCTCTCCTCAGTCGACCTCACTCCCAAACAATTTTCATCTGTTTTTAACTTCTCTCACTTTGCCGCAAACTATACTTTCATCATTCATTCACTTATTCAGATACTTACTGAGTGCCTACTACATGCCAGGTACATTCCAGGCACTCACTGAGCACAACAGACCTCGCTGCCCCCTCAGAAGCCTCTCATTTATGTCAGTCTGCTCCTGTTTTCTCCCCTGAGCTGCCTCCACCAAATTTCTTGTACCTTTGGCATCATCTCTGCCTTTTTGGCCTCTCACCTGGTTGTCAGGTGCTCCTTTGGGGCTGGACTGCTAGCTTCTAGGGATGGAGCCATGTCCCTGTTTTTGTATGCCTAGGGGAAAGGGCTTTCCTCCAGCTGCTGTGATGATGAGGTACCTCTCTACCCCTGGGGATGGTTTCATCTCTCAAATCCAGAGCCCAGTCTTGCCTTCCTTGATGGGCCCTGCACCAGAGGGGTCAAGGAAGCTGCTGGGTGCGTCCTGGTGTTTACAACTCCAGGTTACGAGGGCCTCAGGCAAGAGTCCTCTTTTCATGGGGCCCAGGGAGAGTCGGTCAGCTGTTTCCTGTGCTTCCTTTTCCTCTGGACAGTCACAGCTTCCCCAGGCGCCCTCTCCACCTTTCCCACCAGGAAAGATTGTTGCCCCGCCCCACCAACTGTTTGGGAAAGAGGTTTTCTCACCGTCCCTGCTTGGCACCCCTAACTGCAACCCTCCTTCCTAGAGAAGCTGAGGCCTTCCTCCCTAGGGGTCTTGGGAAGATGTGGTACCCAGCCTCGGATGGGAGAGAAGACATGGCAATGCCGCTGAGGATTCCGGGACTTGTCTGCAGTTGGCACACTGGCAAAGGTTCTGAGCATCACCTGTTGCTTAGCTGATGCTGCAGGGACCAGGGAACAAGGTTTTGCCTAGTTCAGGAGATATTCTTTCCCAGGAAAGCCAGAAAGATCCTCGGTGCTTAGAGTTTGCTTAGTCTCACACCTAAGTCATCTATCTCAGAGCTGGAAAAAATGGGCCACTGTGGAGAAAGGATTGAGGAGAAAGGGGATTCCACACCCACTGCTAACTTCTGAGCCCACTTAGACAAAAATGGGCCAACACCACAGGTTGAAAGTAAGGCCAGCATTTGACCAGAGCTGCTGCTGGTGAAAATATAGGTCTTTGGGTCCTGGAAGATCCCAAAGCCTTACTAAAAGTGAGTGAGACTGTCTTGACTGGGCCTGGACACAGGGGCAGTTATAGGTTATGTAAATAAAGGCTGGCTTTGGAGAAGAGAGAATATAGCCGCTTCTGAGCAAGCGAAGATGGTTTGGGAGAGAATCTCAGGGCTTTGCCCGAGGGTTGACCCTTCCACTCTCATCAGGAGTTCTCCATCTTGGAATTGGCTCATGAAGTGGAAGAGAGGTTCAGTTTCTTCTCTTGGGATTCCTAAGAAGTCACACCCAGGCTTTCATGGGCTCCAGAGCTAGTCTGAACCAGTAAGAAACTAGTTCTAAGATGCCTGACACTCTTGAGAGCTGGGCAGGCAGTTGGGATCTGAGGCCAGTCAACTACATCTGGGCAATCTTTTATAAACCCTCTACCAATCTCATTCAGGAATGGCAGTGGGGATAATTACAGAGAAATTTCCTGGCGTCAAGTGGGGGCTGGTGGGGTTAGGCTGCATGATAGTAGTGGCAGACCCAGCAGGACACTGTGTGAGCTTAGCCTGCAGAGTGAGGCTAGGGCCTGGAGACAAAGAGAAAATGGGCATTCTTTTGAGGACTCTAGTGGGTTCCTAGGTTCAGTCTTGCTACTAGAGGTTAGACCTTCAGTGGGGTGCTTTCTGCTGAGGAGGTTTCAGTTTTCTCCTTTTCATGCTCAAAGGGGTAGATGGTGAGCTCTGTGTACTCCCTAAGCCACTGAACCAACACAGGGCTGTGTGAGAGGCTGTAAGAGATAAGTAGGAAATGCAGTTTGCTGCATCGTCTTTGTTAACATAAAGCCTTTTTTCTTAATTGCCAACACTATTATTGACATTGTTATATGGGCATCTGATCTTTTCACATCTACTTTTTACATTATTTTATGTATAAAGGTACATATTAACTTCCCGTGGACTTCCCAGCCCCCTGTCTTCTGCCTTGGGGGTCTTCCAGCCCTTATGATGTCAGACTGAACTAGTCCACTCTAGAGAATCCAGGGGTTGGGCTCCCTGCTGGGGCACTGAGTCAGATTTGCAGGCAGCTGCCTCCCAGGCATGTGCCTCCTGGCTCCTGGCTGGGCTCTATGTCCCACCCGCCCACATGTGCCTGTTGCCCACACCACATCCTGTTGTGGGTTGGAGGCGATCTCAGTACTTTCGTATCTGCTGCAGAAGCGGCTCTAGCTGGATGTGACTCAGCAGCTGCCCTGGTAGCTAAGCCATGCTGTCCCTTCCTCAGTGGGGTGCTGGGATGTTCTTTACTACCCCTGAAAGACTCAAGTCACAGCTGGACATGACTTGGTCTCAGTAAAAGCATTTGGATTAGGCTCAGATGAAAGGGGCTGAGAGAGTTCAAAGACAGACAGGGCTTTCAGGGTGAGGAAGAGTGACCGTGGTTTAGGTGATGGTGGAAGGAGACGCTGGAGCCTCAGACAAGAAGTCTGGATTTGTAGGCTGTGGAGACTCGGGGACAGTGAGCTCCTTACTCTGTTTCTCACTCTCTGTCCTCCTAACTGCTGCTCCTGCAAAGAGTGGGAGCCTGGTGGAGAACTGTGGAAGAGGCAGATGGCTCACTGCAGACCATAGGTCTCTTCCCCTCCTGGGCTGCTGCCTACGGCAACCTGCCTCCCCTACCAGACTCTGAGATATGTCAGGGGAAATCATGCCAAGGTTACCTGGAAGGTCCTCATTTCTGACACCGTAGAGTTATTCTTGATTTGTCTGGCTTAAATAGCTCAGACCTTCCCTCGGTCCTGTCCCCCAAACCTGTCCCCTCCCAGTTGGGAAATTCTCCTTGAGGTGCAAGCTCCATGTTTCTTTTTGAATTCTCACCCATGTCCTCTTAAGAAAGGGGTAGTCATCATCTCAATACTTTTTGATAACTTTGAGGCTGGACAAGAGTAGGGTTGAGATTTCAGAGGGTTTTCTCAGGAGACTCCCAGAAAGAAGAGTCAGAAGGGGGTGAATGGAAGTGGGGAGCAGAAGGGCGGGGCCTGGAAGAAACTGTCCAGAGCCAATGGGCTTTCCTGCATGGTCCCTGGAAAAGACTGTCCCTGTGTAGTGGAGATGGGCACCAAATCTTAGAATCTCAAAGCAGAAAGGGACCCCAAAGACCCTCTGATGCTTGAATATCCTTTGCAAACTCTAGTCAAGTGGTTGGACAATCTGAGCTTGTACATCCTGAGAGACAGGGCACTCACTACCTCAAAAGGCAACCCAAACCATCTCAGATAAGCCCTGATGCCCAGAAAGTTCTTAATATTGAGTCAATGTGTCTTCCTGTGTATCCAACGCGTGGACCGAGCTCTGCTCTTTGGGACCACACAAGGCAGGGCCAGACTCCTTTTACATGATATTTCTTCAGCTATCTCCTACCCTGGCTGCTATGCATCCTGACTCTGAGGGGAAATGCCTGTCATTCTAGAAACACAGGACTCTCCTGAGCATTTCAGGGAGAGGAGGAAACTGGGAGAATGGGGAATCTTCAAGTTTATCCCTTGGGCTGGGCCTGCTGCTCTCCTGCCAGGTAATACTTCCGCTGTCCCTGCAGCCCTAGCAGAGCTCTGTTGCCTCTGAGCCCTACCCCTGTGGCACCACCTTCCCTTTGACTCCTTCTATCCTAGTGTCTAGGCAACAGGAAACAAACACAGAGGGCAGAGCAAGGATTGGTCAGGACGAGCTTTGTGAGAAAGGCTCTGAACAAGACACACACCAGCTGCAGCTTCGTACTGACGCCTGCCAACTCCCACACACCTTCCTGGGCAACTGCCAGTGGAGCACGGCAGGCCTGGGGCCACCCTGCAGGTCAAGGGGTACCACAGTTCCCCTCTGTGGATATGTATTTGGGGAATCCAGATGGCAAAATCAAAGGCAAGTTTTATTTCTACAAATTAAAAGGTCAAAGTCCCATTGGACCTGTGGATTAATTCATCACAAAGTTTCTTTCCCCATAAACAGACAGACTCATGGTTCAGGACAATCAATTTTAGTTGCTTAATCCACCTGAGGGCCTGGCTCTGATCCCTGTGAGGTGCTCTGGTGTTCTGGGTAGAAGGTCCCAAGGGGTTCTGTTCTCAAGGATCTTCTTTCCTCAGTTAAAAAATAATCATCAGCTATCACTCCTGGCTTTGCTCTTCTCAGGCCATGTCTAGCAGGGACCTGGCTTACTTACCAAGCCCAGCAATATTCCCCTGGCCACTTCTCTCCACCCCCTACTCCTTTCTCTGGCACGCTGTTGTTAGTTATCCTTCAGATCTCGGCTCAAACATCATTGCCACTAGGTCAGGGTCCTTGCACGTATTACTGCAGCTTACCACATTGCAGGCCAGGAGCTATTTCCCTATCAGATGGGATGCTCTGTAAGGATAGAGACTGAGTCTCCTTAATTGCCATTTCCCCAGGGCCTAGCATAAAGCCCAGCTGTTTGCTGAATGAATGAAGGTTCTGCAGGATGTAGTTGATCTTGGCGAGGTGAAGATACCTTTATCTGCAAAGTCTCTTCATTCTTCCTCAGATCTGTCATCAGGAAATCACATACCCTTTACAAGCGATTTCTTCTTGCCTCCACTCATTCTCTTGCTAACAGTTCAGTTGGTGGCATTCAATTGCCTCCCTTTGCTCTTGTGCTTTGTTGATGTAGTGACAGCTCTGGCCACTCCTTTAATTGATGAGGACTATGTGTGTGCTGCTTGCTCTTCTGAGTCTGTCAGCTTCAGGACATTGCTTGATGGGAGAGATGTGGGCATATCCAGGCTCCTCCTAGAATCCTACTTCTTTTGAAGTGTACCAGTCAGAAGCATTGAGGTTTGGGAAACCTAAGCAGGGGCTTGGGGCGTCCCTGTGTCACCTGTGTTCACAGCTCTTCCCTGCCAGCTTTGATCTGAGCCTTAGTCTCGAACCCAACCCACACCCTCAAACTTAACCCCACATGTCGATCTCATCCCTCTCTGTAACCAGAACCCGATATTGTCCCATCACCACCCATGCAACCTCTGAGCCCCCTGCCCTTCTCATGCAACCATGGCCTCACCTGGCAGACCTCCACCTCCAAATCGTCACTGAAAGCTGGGTGGACAGACAGCAGCTGCAAGGCTTCTTGGCTTCTCTGTGACTCTTTGCCTATCCATTGTCACTCACAGCTTCTGCTCCCAGAGTCTTACCTCAGAGGTTTCCTCTGCAGGACAACTCCTCCCTGGGTGCTGCAGGGTGAGCCCAGCACTACATGGGGACTTGAGAGAGGGGGCTGAGGAGCTTGCTGACTGTGTAGGGAGGAGTTTAGAAAGAGTCAAATTGCAGTGCCAGCCAAGGCAGGGGTTGTGGGGAGCTTGATTGAGCCTGAGCCCAGGGAGTCTGGCGGCTAGTGAGAGGGGTTGGGGTGGGCAAGTCCAGGCAGGGAAGGGCAGGGCTTAGAGGGCTGGGGTGGAGTTGCTGTGAAAGGGACTTTGGAGGAAGAATAGGCTTTGGAGGAAGAGTAGGCAGCCTAAGCCCTCTGCCTGTCCTTCCCTGAAAGGTTCTGGGGCTGGGCTGCACTTCATACTGGAAGCAGTCTGTGGCCTTCTCTGAGACTTTGTCCAGCCTCTTCCTACCTCCTGTATCTCCCTGTTTACTCCTTTCTAGGCCCATCTTTGATTTTCTATTATTGTCTTAGAATAGAAGCAAATACCAGTCAAACCAGGGCCATTCTTCCCTGGAGAGTCATGGATTTCTCAGGAAAAAGCAAGGGGCCCTTTCGGAAATTTGTGTTGGTTCCCAGCTCGTGGCCTGGGCGCTCTGCCTCCTCTGTCTCCCTCTGAGTCTCCGGAGGGGCCATTTAGACCATGTGTCTTTCTGTCTGTCTCTGTCCCAGTCTCTGTCTTTGCCCCTTAACTCATCACTATCTCTCCCAATCTCTTTCTTCTCTCTCTCTGGGGTCACAGGGGGAACCCCAGTAGTCTCCTCGACCAGACCTTTATAAAACTTGAAAAGGAAGTGGGTGGGGAAATGAGAGGTTTGGGGTGGAGACTGGCTGGGGAAAAATGAGAGGGAGGAGTTGGGATAGGGATCTTCCTAGGAGTGGGGCCTCTTCCACTGCTGAGGATACGGCCCAGAGAGAAACACAGACTGCGAGCTGGTGTTCTCACAGAGGGAGGGGACTGTGGGGCTGCGACATATGCTTTGGAAACTATGTTGACATCCCAGTGCCTTCACCCCATCCACAGCCTCCCCACCACTGCCCTCCCCGAAAACCCTGCAGGGCTCAGGGTATAGGGCTAGAAGGCTGACAGCTTCTTTTACAGGACTCAAATTGCAAGGAGGTAGCAATTAAGCCTCAGAGAGTCAAGGGGGAACAACAATGGCACTCTGCCCTTTCAGGCTTTGAAAGATCCCCATGTGGTGCCCCGTAAAGTGGCTGTTCTAGGAGCATGTAGACCCTCAGTTTCTCCCAAGTCCCATCTCCTGAGGACTCCAAATCCAGACCACCCTTCCTCCCCACTCAGTAAGACTCCCTCTGATGGACCCCATCTTCTAGTCCGGTTTGGTGTCAGAGCCCCACTCATTGTCAATAGCTTCCCACGTCCCCTCCCCATATGCTTTTCCTGGAGCTTGGCCAGGTGGTGAGCTTTAGTAGTGGAGCAGGACTTCAGAGGGTCCATTCTGTATGGGATTTAGTTGCCTCATACCCCTTAGATGGGCTTGTGTACGTTTGGCTTCCTCCTCCAAGTCTTGGGACCCTAATCAACATGTGCTACTAGTAGTCTCCCTGCACTAAGGGTTGAAAATTCTAGCCAAACCTGGATTTAGCAGATGGAGGCTGAAGTCTTTCTATATTAGAAATAAAACCTCATCTTTGATCCCTACCAACTCCCACTGCTTACGTGTCTTTAAACCATGTTCCAATCCTAACCACAGCCTATTTCAACATGAATCTCAAACTGTTTTATTTTTATTTTTATTTTTATTTTTTTTGAGACGGAGTCTCGCTCTGTCGCCCAAGCTGGAGTGCAGTGGCGCGATCCTGGCTCACTGCAAGCTCCGCCTCCCGGGTTCACGCCATTCTCCTGCCTCAGCCTCCCGAGTAGCTGGAACTACATGCGCCCGCCACCGCGCCCGGCTCGTTTTTTGTATTTTTAGTAGAGACGGGGTTTCACCATGGTCTCGATCTCCTGACCTTGTGATCCGCCCGCCTCGGCCTCCCAAAGTGCTGGGATTACAGGCGTGAGCCACCGCGCCCGGCCTCAAACTCAGTTTTAACCCAATTATAACCCCAATCCTAAATAAATCTAAACCCAGCCTTTGATGTAGCCCTAACTGTATTCCCAGGCAGAGCTCTAAATGAAACTAAAACTCTATTCCTCATCGTAACACAACCCCAGCCATAAACCCGAGCCTCAATTCTAGCTGTATTTCTAACCTTAATCCCAACCTTAACTCTAATCCCAACCTCAAATCTGACCTCAACCTCATTCATAATTCAACTAACCCCAAACTTAACCCCAATTCTAACATTAGCCCACATCCAGAACCCAATTAAATCCCAAGCCTGCACTGTAGTTTAGTGGAACCACAACCTTACTGCTTTCTCCTCAATCTCTCTGTTCATGGTCTCACCTGTTTTCCCTCCCACTCACCCTGACCTTCCATGGTTCTTGTTTGTGAGTGGGTCTAGTAATCCACAGGATCACCAAGACCATTTTTTGGACACTCTGGACTGACACCCTGGGTACCTGGGTATCCCAGCTTAGGCACCAGCCGCATTGGCTGAATCCCCATGTTTCTCAGGCCTCTGTTTCCCTATCTGTAAAATGGGGATAATGATCCCTGCTCTTCAAAGGGAGGAGGACAATCCCATAAACCTAAAAATATATAAGGAAATGAAGATATTCATTGCGTACATCTGGTAGGTCTCAGAGTGCCCTGTTATTGTTGGGAGTTCAGGTGCAAGGGCTTGGAATGCAGAGACGCGTGGACTCCTTGTGTTTCCTTAATGTTCTGTCTTATTTTTCCTCAGAGGGATGGGCCCTGGCAGCATCCCTGAGCCCCATAACTCTCCCCAACACTCTTCCTCCTCTGCCCTTTCTGTGCCCCATGGTAGGGATGGGGGCAGTCCCTGACTCCTTTGAGGGAGTCAAGCTATTGAATGGGATCACTCATGTCCTGACTCCTACCATGGAGTCCAGTGAGGCACAGGCCCATTCAGTCCCCCTCAGACAAGCCAACAAGGGCGGCCCTCCCCTTGCTCCCCATGCCTACCAGGACCCTCCCCACCCCAGCGCCAACCTACCCAGAACTGTGCTGGTTTAGTCAGCCCGATGACCAGTCCAGGTTGTGAGGGTCCTTGGTCTCAAGGACCCAGTTAATACTAGGATTGCATTAACCCTCAAGACCTGGCCACTCTTTCTGGGCAGAGAAGCCAAGACACCAAGCGATCCCTCAAGAAGTTCACTCAGAGGGGCTTAGCCATGCTCACAGAGACACCCTGGCACGGACATCCTGCCTCCCTCCCACAGACACATTGCTGAGGGGTGCACACGCCTACACTGGCACCCCCTTCCCCGGTCCTCTTGGCACTGTTCTCTCCAACACTCCCTCACTAGCTCATCAGTCACCTTACTCCTACCACACACCCTGAATCCCCCATAGCACCCCTGCTCCCAGGGGTCCCCTACACTTGGGGATGGCCTTGAGTCAGGTATGGGTGCGGAGGACATTTCCAGAGGGGACAGCTAGGAGGAGACTCTGTTCCTGCACATACCCCTTCTCTCCTCTTTCAGCTCAGGAGGCCTGACTCCATTTGAAAGACCTGAAGCCTCGGGGGAAGGTGGGCTGGACATTCCTGGGGAACCCTATGCCCTGGGATCAGGATTAACTCTTCAGAGCCTGGCCACTCTTCCTCCCAAGCCTGGCTTCTCCTTCCTCTTCCCCACTTCCCCCAGGGAAGGAGGCAGCAAATGAGTGGTGAGGGGAGCCCTTGGAAGCTGTAAATGAGGTGACTGTTGTCACTCTGAGGATGTGGCCAGGAGGAAGTGAAGTTTAACAGGTGCCTAATTACAAGTCCCGCTGGCTATCCTGTGCCACTCTTAGGACAGGGAAGAGCTTGGGTGAGGACTCAGTAATGCCCAGCTAGGCCACCCTGTCACCCTGCTAATTAGGGTTCCTGGGACTCCTCCCCAAGGCGGGGACCAGGCCCCCTCCCTCCCATAGAAATAACTCCGGCTGCTCCCCAGCTGGGCACTCATTGCACCTTCCTGCCACCCCGGGCCGTGTCTGGGCCCTCAGCTCCCCCCCCTCCACCCACCCCCTCACACCCACCACCACGACCCCACGGGATATCCAGCCCAGGAGGAGGAAACACCGAGTCTAGAAACATGGGAGTTGGAGGAGCATTCCACCTTCTACTCATGTGCCTGAGCCCAGGTACGGGGCTGGGCAGGGGGCAGGGATAGCCAGCATGAAGCCAAGTGGACAGGAAAGGGGCAGTGAGGGCTCACAGCAGAGCCTGGGGCTGCCTGAGATGCCTGGCAGAGTGCTGTCCACCCTTGCCCTGCTGCAGCCGGGTGTGGGTATTGCCAGGGGACCTCTCCCCAGGAGACCCTGTGCCTGAGGTTCAGGGTGGGTGTCTGTGGTGTGGAGGTCTTTGAGTGGATCTTTATGTGTCCCCTGCTGGGCTCACACATGTGTGCAGGTGCCCTGCAAACTTGTGCTGTGAATAGGAGGAGAGGGATGGATTGCTCTGCAGGAGCTGGAGGTGGGGTAGGAGGGAGGTGAGCACGGGCATTGGGTGAGGGCTCAGGAGGAGCTTGGGAAGGATCAATTTTCATCAGACTGTGTGCTATTCCCAGCGCTACGCCTTCTCTCCTAAGGCCAGGGCCAAGGGGCAGGGGAGTCGCTTGCCTTGAAAGGGCAAGAGACTAAGGCTGGTGTAAGTCTGAGTGCTTGCTTCCATCATGGCCAGTGAGAGCTCAGGCCTGAGACCACAGCCCTGGGCACCCTGTGCTACGGGAGGGCCGTGCCCCACTCCAGGATGAGGCCTGAGGGTGGCGGGGATGGCAACTCCAGAGACTTCTCACCCCACCGGGACAGGTCCACAGGGCAGGGCTCAAGTTTGGACATTGTGGCTTCCTGCTCAGGTTGGGGCAAGTTCCGCCAAGGGACATTCTATGCTGACATGGCTGGAAATGGCTGAGTCCCTCCTGCGGTCTGGATTTGGGGTGAAGGGGCATGAAGGAGGAATGTGGGAAGACAGGGCGACATTTTCAGCCTTTGTGTGAGCGTGAATGTGTATGTGAGTGTGTGGGTGTGTGTGCCTATGTGGGAATGAGGGCATTTCTGGCAGGATAGCTGCAGCCCCTCTCTGTCTGGTGAGAGCAGGGCTGGCAAAGTCCACTCGGAGGCTCCAGCTGTGCTGTGGGGACCTGGACTTCCCCCTGTATGGTGTGTCAGTGGGTGTGTGAGGACAACTCAACGCTGGCTGCATGAACACATCAATACCCTCAGCTGGAGCCGCCTTTTCTCCCCTCCCTTACCTCCAGAGGGAGGGTCAGGAGTTCTGGAAGCACCTTGAAGATTCAGAAAGAATTTACAAGCAGAGAGTAGGCACCACTATTGAGATGACACCCCATAAAGCATGGCCAGCTTTTGTGGGGGCAAAGAATCACCACTGTCCTCTTCCTTGGAGAGTCCATTGTGATTCCTCCATTCCTGTCTCTCCACAAGTCTCCCATCCAGCTCTCTCTTCCACTTTGCCTTTCTTCCCTCTCTCCGGGCTCTCCTCTCTCATTCCCTATAGTACTTCCTTAGTGCTACAGCAAAAGGAATCAAGGTGAGACATTAGGAACAACCTCCCAAGGAGAGGGAGGGGTGAGAAAAGGCTGGAACCCTTGGGAGGAGGTTGAGAAGACTTCTAAGGAGATAGAAAAGCCGGGAGAGGCTCCCTGGCCTGGGACAATTGAAGAAGCTCTCAGCCTGGTGCAGGGTGGAGGTGCTTTTCTTGCACTGTCGCTCCCTCCCAAGCCCCTCTCCCAGAATGCTTACCCTCCTGCCTGGCAGGCTCCTATGGCATGGAGAGAGTCCTTCCCTGCGTGGGTGATTCCAGCGGTGCTTCTCCAGGGTGGAGCCTCTGCTCTCAGCCGAGTTCTGGTTCATCCCTGGCTTGCCTTGAGCCGCCTCAGGATCTGGCAGATGGCAGCAGGATCCTTATCTCAGGAATGAGCTGTTGTTCTCTTGGCCTGGAGCTGGTAGAGGCATCACCAGGTCCCGTTACAGCCCCAGCAGTCAGCCTGCCTGCTCTGGGTCACCTTGGAGTCTAGCTGGGTTAGGACAGAGCTGATGACCCAGCCAGTGTTCCTAGCGGGGAAGTTCAGGGATCCCTGAGGTATTGAATGTGTCGAGAGGGCCCTTGCTGGCCTCTCTGGAGTCAGGCTAAGCCTTCCTGGCAGGGTTTCCATGGATATGTCTGGTCTTGAATGAACACACACAAGGACTATATGAACACACGGTGGGTGTGTCTTTTGAATTAATATGTTCTGCGTTTGTGTGCAGATTGTGTCTGTGTCTGTATGAATCTGATAGTGTCTGTGTGTGTAGGAAGATGGGGTCACATAGGTATGTATCTGCATTTTGAAGGCTTGTAACAGTGGGCCATGTATCAATTTGTTTGCCCGTGACGGTGTAATTGTGTGTGTGTACGTGTGAGATCTCTATGTGTAAATGTGGTCCTGAGCCACAGAATGACAGAACAGAATGACTGCTGAGATCTGGGGCTGTGACTCCAGAAGACATATTGACTCAAAAAAGAACGCAGACAGAGAGTGTGTGAGACCTGGTGAGGGGCCTGCAGAGGCAGGGTTGCTGGAGACTGGGAGGTGGAGTGCAGAGTGTCCAGGGTGGGGCCCTGGCTACGCACCCCCCTCCACCGGTCTTATCCCTCTCTAGGTCCAACCGGTTGGGGATAGGCCTGCCTGGGGCTTCAGGGTAGGGAGGGACAAGAGCTCAGTCCCGAGCTGCTGGGTCCTGGGATCCCAGCTCCTCACCCAGGATTGCCTGCCACTGACTCAGTGGCAGGAGGGGCCTCACTGGGAGCCAGCTTGTGGGGGCGGCTGCATGTGAGCCACACAATCACATAAGAGGAAACACACACAGTCCACAATGCTGTGTAGTCAAGAAAGACTCACAATGTCCTACAGATAGCTGTGGCCATAGTCCCAGGTGCACACCATCACTCACTATCACACATGAACACAGTCAGGCTCCTGGTCACAGCTGTCCCCTGTCATGCACAAGCACACACTGTCACTTTTAAGCACTTACATAGCCTCACATGGTCACACATCACTGTACAAAACCACACAGAGGCATACAGCCACAGACACACACTGTCATACACAGATACACATAGCCACACTTAGTCTTTGGCTTCTCAGGCTGAAGAGGAGTTGCAGAAGCCATTGTAACCACCCTGCTGCCTCTGGACACGAGGAGTTCACTCAGCCCAGACAGAGCCCAGATAGGTGACATTGAATCAGCCAGGCTCTTCCATCAGAGCATTTAACAACTCTGTGTGTACTCCATGCCTTCACACACACACAAACACATCCACACTATCATATAAATATATAATCAGACACGCTAGAAGGTCATGTACATGAATATCCTCATAGTATACATAAGCAGTCACAAATACTCATAAGCATACAATGTACATATGTGTACATATTCATACATGCATATAATCATATATACGTACAAGCATACCTAACAGCTACATATATAACAGCTATATGTATAGCTGTTATATGCCTAAGACAATTCATGCACACACACATACACACCCACTAAGAGCAGCCCTCCTTTTTATGAAAGCACCCCTGACCTCTGGGTGCAGTGAACAGAGAATATGAAGGGAAGGGCTGACATTGACTCCTCCTGAAGCCCTGGTTCTGCTCCTACCACCCCATCTTCTCTGCCCTCCCCCTAGCACTGCTGTCTGCTGTGCGGATCAACGGGGATGGACAGGAGGTCCTGTACCTGGCAGAAGGTGATAATGTGAGGCTGGGCTGCCCCTACGTCCTGGACCCTGAGGACTATGGTCCCAATGGGCTGGACATCGAGTGGATGCAGGTCAACTCAGACCCTGCCCACCACCGAGAGAACGTGGTGAGTGCTGGGCACAGGGATCTCCTTCCTCTGTGCTTCATGATGTCTACCTGTTGGACAGCCAACATCCCAAGGGGAGAAGACTGACTTTGAACCTCCCCCAAGGCCTCTCAGGGAATGAGGCAATGGGGATGAGAGCTCTGCAATTGTGAATTAAGCTAGCCAGTCAGTCTATGTCCTCCCATCCCATTCTAAAGGGAAGATAAGGTGTAGTCTCTGCCTTCAAAAAGTTCCCAGTCTGACCATATATTTTTCCAAGTGCTTGATCTCACCTGATCTCACCAGTTCTGTAAGAGGTCAGTGGCTCAGGCATCATTATTCTCATTTTTTTCAGCTGAGAAAACAGAGTCTCAGACAAGTTCAGTGAATTGCCCAAAGCAGCCAACCCACATGGCCCTCCTTGGCCCTGCCTGTTTCACCACCTGTTTTCCTCTTCTCTTCACAGTTCCTTAGTTATCAGGACAAAAGGATCAACCATGGCAACCTTCCCCATCTGCAGCAGAGGGTCCGCTTTGCAGCCTCAGACCCAAGCCAGTACGATGCCTCCATCAACCTCATGAACCTGCAGGTATCTGATACAGCCACCTATGAGTGCCGGGTGAAGAAGACCACCATGGCCACCCGGAAGGTCATTGTTACTGTCCAAGGTATGGCCAGACTCCTCTGAGCTCCTCTTTCCCTGGCTTCAGAGCCAAGGGCAGCTTGGCCACCTTGAGCCTGGCTCTGCCTCTTGGCTGGGCCCTGGCTTACCATTGTCTGCCTCCTTGCAGCACGACCTGCAGTGCCCATGTGCTGGACTGAGGGCCACATGACACATGGCAACGATGTGGTGCTGAAGTGCTATGCCAGTGGGGGCTCCCAGCCCCTCTCCTACAAGTGGGCCAAGATCAGTGGGCACCATTACCCCTATCGAGCTGGGTCTTACACCTCCCAGCACAGCTACCACTCTGAGTTGTCCTACCAGGAGTCCTTCCACAGTTCCATAAACCAAGGTGAGAGGGCACTGGGCGAGGGTAGTATGGGGATGAATGGAAGACCGGGGACTCTGGGATCTGTTGGGGTTTCCTTGGGTTATCAGTGCCATCAAATCCCCTGTGGGC